AAAAAAAAATCAGTTTTTATTTGTTGAAGTTTGAAACTTCCGACAAGCGTTGCAATTCTTTTTCAAATCAAGAATTCAGAAAAATTTATTGCTAAAAAAGCTTAGAGCCAATTTTAAAAAAAATGAAAATGAGAAACAGTTTTTGATGTGTACTTTGATCGCCACTAGGTTAAGGCATTATCAGATTAAATTAAAAGTTCAAACCTACAAACTAGAGTACAATTTTTAAAATTTATTGTAGCTTACACAGATAAAAATGGACAGTAAACACGTATAAATAAATAGACAAAAACAGATAACCGTCTCCTCGACATGAATGGAGGCAGTCAATGTACGCTTGGAGTGGCAAATTTCTTGCCAATTCATGCCTTATAAAAGTTACAAAAGCAGCCCGCTTTTGCTCGACACATCTGCATTTTTGAGCATTCAGTTCAGTTCAACCCTAAAATAATTTGAAAGATTTTTGATTTATTATATTATTTCCCTAATATTTTGAAATAGTAATAGATGTTTGTTTTTCAGTACTTTTTGGATGGATACAAATAAAGGTGAAAAGTTTGGAAACATACTAAAAGAAACAAGGGAAACGTCTCTCAGAACATTATATGTACACCTTATAATTTCTATATGCTTTATAACGTATCAGATTCAAAAATATACCCTCAACGGAATCGGAAGTTATCTGCTGAGAAGCAGTGCAAGGTAGACAATAATCCGCCTCTGTTACAGTATTCTCGTACATTTTAAAGAAAAAAAAACATCTTTACATCTTCAGCTGCAGTAATTCCTACTAAAGAGGAAGGAAGCAATTACTAAAATATAGTGCATTTCGGTTGTTAAAGACTCATTTTGAGAAGTTATGTTTGGAATGGTTTGTCGCTCGTCATTTTTTAAACTTATAACGAATTGTTTTAACTCAAATATGTTTACTATTTAAACATGGTAGTTAAAGCAGCCGAACTGAAATGTAATTTTTGATATTTAAAAAATCTAACATCTGGAAAAAAAGTTTAATAAACCAGAAAGGTTTAAGTTCTGTCATCGTGAAAAAAGGTAACCTAGAAAAATAGAACGTAATTCTAGCATGGTAGGTGATTCCAGTGAAAATTTAGCAATTTCTGAATCAAAACATAAATTACTAGATATTTTACTTTTTATGATCTTCTCTCTGCCTTTTTTAATTTGAACTTAAACAGTACTAACTAGCAAGTCTAAAAACAAATTACTACGATATCAAATGTAAGTGTAATTTAGGGTGTGGCAGCTTATACATAAGCAACCACCACGGTTTTGACTGCACCATTTATGGAAGTTTATTTTGTACAAAGTTATTGTTTAATTTTGCTACTCTAAACTACAATAAATGTTTTAAAAATTGTAGTCTAGCTGCAGAAGTTTTAATTTCTATTGTAATTTGAAGACGTAATTAAATTTTTTTGCCAATGTAAACATCAAAATATTTTTTTAAGAAGGCCTATTTTAACTTTTTTAGCAATAATTTTGTTTTTTTTTTTTAATTCTTGGTTTGGTAAAAGATTAGAAAAGTAAACTAATTGGTCAAAATTTTGATGAACAGAAATTAATGGCTTAATAGCAAATATGAAGGGTATGTTTACCTACCACGTCTGGTACTTTAGTGACAACACATTTCACATTTGTTAAGCCAAAGAGTGATTTGGTTAAATTAAGACAACGTTTTTTTGTTCAGATTTTAGAACTTACATAAGATCTGTACATCACAAGATTGATTTATGTATTATAACGCCAAGGCCTGTTAAAAGGTTTATTAAAACGTGAAGAAACAGAACAGTTTCGGAAAGTAAAATGCAATTTTTGTTGTTCAAATCTCTGCATTTTTTTCTGTCTTCTAAACATATCTAAACAACGTTTTTTAGTATTACGGCTATACAACTTTCTTCTCTCAAAAGTTAAGGTACGGTATGCATAACTTTTGTGTGAACTTACAGAGTGTATTAGCTTCTCAGACACTCTTACAGAAACTTCATTTTGTTTTGGAACAGAAAATATAATAGAGAATCCAAAGAGCAAAGAAA